GGATCAGTTATCAGGCATCAAATCATGGTGAATGAGGGGGAGTGCAGGTTGGGGATCCAAGACCCATCTGTAAGCAATTGGACATCCCCTTACAGAAGGGTCGCTGGGCAGAGACGAGTCAGTCAGGGTGCAGTATAGCAACGATGAAACATACAACTTTCCTCTAGTTCCTAAATGCTTCCTCCCCTCCCGCTATCATGATCCCAATTCTACCTTACAAATCTGGCAATCCAGAAGATGTACACTGGTGCAGATGGGAACTAGGAACACAGGGAATCCAGGACAGATGATCCCTTCGGGACCAGTGCTGAGAGTGGCGGTACTGGGAGGTGGAGAGAAGGTGGGGTGGAAAGGGGGAATTGATTGCAAGGATCTACGTGTGGCCTTCTCCCTGGGGGATGGACAACAGAAAAGTGGGTGAAGGGAGATTTTGTGTAGTGCAAGATATGACAAAATAATAATTTATAAATTATCAAGGGTTCATGAGGAAGGGGGGGCGGGGAGAAAGGGGAAAATAGGAGGAGCTGATGCCAAGGGCTTAAGTGAAGAGCAAATGTTTTTAGAGTGTTGAGGGCAGCAAAGATACAAATGTGCTTTACACAATTGATGTATGTATGGATTGTGATGAGTTGTATGAGCCCCCAATAAAATGATTTAAAAAAAAGAGATTAGGTCAATATTATAAAGATATTATGTCAAGACCTAATATTGACATGAAATCTAAAAAAAGAAAAAAGAAAGAAAACCAGGCACATAGTAGAAAGAAAACGTTTTGAAAATGATGATGGCAACATATGTACAAATGTGCTTGACACAATGGATAGATGGATTGTGATAAGAGCTCACAAAAATGATTTTTACAAAAAAGAAAGAAAGAAAAAGAAAACCAGGTACTTTGCTCTATTTTCCTGGAGGTTGGGGATGGGGGGAGAGAAATAACAATCTATCAAACTTCAAGGAGGTGGAAGGAAACGGATTACTGAAACGTCTTCACATTAAAAAACAATTTAACTTTTTTTACATAATGCGCATATGCAAGTCCATAGTTGAAACATTAATAAGGGTTGTGTAATCCTCACCACAGTGCAATCCAGCGTGTTGTTTGTTTGGTTGCTAGGCGCCCTCAGTTGGTTCCGTCTCCTGGGAAGCCCGGTACCAGGGAAGGAAACGCTGCTTGGTTTTGTACCATACTTGCCGTTGTGACAATGTTTGAAACTCGTTGTTGCAGCTGCCCACAGGGCAGGTCATAGTTTTCCATTTGAAATCATTCTTCTGGAGTTTTTTTATGCTTGTAGGAAAGAGCTTTACATAAAGAGTTATTGTTCATCAAGAAAACATCTCAGTCCAGTCCAGATCAAGGCCATAAGCCTTATATTAGCCCACCTGTCGA